CTGGCTGTTGTCGCCCTGTTGATGACGTCAGTGACGCGGTTTAATCGGGCGCGGCTTAGTCGAGCGTGGTTTTGATGGGTCACGATGGAAAACTATACCATACCAGGTTTAAATAAACATTCAAAAGGATCCGATGCTCCAATATATTGTTTTTCAAAATTCATAAAATGGAAGGAAAAATCATTTACTATTTTGCTATTATAAAATATATTATTATATAATATGCAATATAATATATAAATTATAAAACATTAACATATATTATAAACAAAATTCATATATACGTGAACACACATATGCACATACTTTACATTAATATAAAGAATAAATTAAGAAAAATATGTTCCTGCAGAAGACTACATATGTATGGACCTCTCATTTATATAACTCATCTGTGAGTAAGTCTATGCAACTTCCTATGTTCCTCAGATTAGCTTAAGACTAGTTCATAGAAAATTCCACAAACATTTTTTTCAGGTAGAAGAGGAAAGAAGAAAATATGTGATTATTACTTCCTCTTGAGGCCCTTTTAAGGTTGAAATCTAATCCTGCCTTTGGTATAAATTAGACTTTCTTGTTAAGTTGGAAATTCACAACAATGTTTAGCATAACTTTGAAAACTGCTACTCTTACATATTCATTTATATTAATGGATAGAAGAGATGGGTGTGCTTTAAAATGCAAGATTAAATAACATAACAGGAATTGATTGGGTATCTCTTCTTTAATTTCCAAATCTGCAGCTCATCCCAGCTTCGGGCATTGTGTTACAAAAGTTTTGTTAGTTTCAGCTGAAGTCTCAGACTGTATCTAATTTTTAAAATGGTTTATATTATTGTATACTTTCTGCTTCATTTTCTAAAATTTTATGTGGATTTTAGAGGGCATAATCAGCTAAATTACAAGTATGAAATAAGTTTTAGGGCCTTTAGGATTTGCATTAAATTTACAGTTTAACAATATTTCATTAGCTCAAGTACCATTTTGACTTTTGTGATTATAACAGTAGTTCCCATTTATTTTATACTAAATGTTCTTCATGGCTTTTGAGTCATAAAATCTCCAATCCTATAGTCTAGGAGGATTTCTTTTTGGGAGTGAATTTCTATTTCTTCTGCCTTGTGTACATACTTAGGACAGGAGAACATCTTGTCTGCTTGGTTCTCTTGGCCTTATGATAAAGCAACTCTGGGGCTGCTTGCTATACCAGGGATCTTGAGACAGCTGACCTCAGCGGCAAGCCTAGCGCAGGTGAGGTAAAACATGATGATTGCCCCTAAGGAAAATAGTGAGGAATGTCCACTGGAGGTGATGGCAGCAGAATACTTCATGCTGTGCAAGGGAAACCAAAAGGGCAGGTGATGGGCAAAGCAATTGCCTCTATGCCACAGAAATTATTTATTTAGCTACTCAGAATAAATAAATACTGCCTCTAAGTACATACTATACAATATAGCTTATTTCAGGATTTTTTTTGTGTGTAGGAACAAAATGAAGCAAAATTAAATATTCTAGTTTGTCTTTCAAAGCTATAGGATTTCTGCCAAGTTGTAATGAACATCAGTCTAATCTTTCATTATTATTATCTGTTCATCATTGTTGATCTTAACCAAGTGGTATGTAGTTACTGCTGAGTTGAAGCTACTCATTTTGTGTTCAATTAGCTGTTCTGTGAGCAGTGTTCTTCTGATCATCAATTTCTTCTTTCTTCTTTATTGGCTTGGTTTAATCTGGTTAGCAGTACTAATTTGCATTGTTTTGAAATTACATCTGAAAGGGTAATGTCATAGTATCTACAAAAAGGAACCATAAATGTTCTCAGTATATTGAATTAAACTGGATGGCAGCATCAGCAAATCAAGTTGAGTGTAATGAGAATAAAAAGGATAAATTAAAGAGGAAAACCGCACCAGATACAGAGGGGAAAAGTTTCCGAAAAAACTGGGGGACACTAATATGTAGCAAGATGAATATTTTTTTCATTAATTTATCATGATAACGCCAGGTCCTTCTTTAAGATTGTCACATATTATTTTATCCTTCATTTGAGCACTGCTCTGTTTCCTTGCCTTGTTCCAGACTATAGAAATAAGAAATAGGCAAAGAACAGTTTTTATTGTTGAAAAATGAAATAATACACTGGTAAGTGAATAGCAGAAGAGTATTTAGATTTAGTTTAATTGTTTCTCAAGATTTCTCATATTATCATTTTGCTAATATACTAGTGTATGTATAACAAAAGTTAGCAGGATTATGATTAAGATAGGCTGCTCCAGTAAAGAGTCATAATCATACCCTTTTACAATGTTATAACTTAGCTGATGAAGTAAAAAAAAAGTCTTCAAGGAGTGTGTGTGTGTGTGTGTGTGTATGAGAGAGAGAAAGAGACATCCTGTGATTCATGGAGAAAGGTAGGATAAAGTTGTATTAATCTTTTGGGTGATGTATGCATTTATATCATTTTCCAGAGAGCAGAAAGACAAGCAAGAGTGATGGATTCAGCACAATATGCAGAATTCAGTGAAAGCCGTCAGTTGAGCTTTTGTAAGTATTGTGTAAAATTTTTACTCTCAAAGGTAGTATTTTTCAAGTTGGTAGTAGTTAAAAAGCAAATTCATTTAATGCCAAAACAAGGAAAAAATGTCATTTATGCTTAACTTGCAATAATGGCACCGTCTCTGTTTTTTTTCCCCCAGAGGCTTTTAATTTGTCTGGCATGCCCACTGAATTCACATCATCAAAACATAAGGCTGTTAAAGAGAATATGAGAGTACATTCAAGTTCAATGAATCTCATTATAGATGAATTTGGGAGTCCCTTCATAAGATTTCTTCTTGTACTAATCTCTTGTACATGTTTCACCTGCAGTATGATTGTATAAATTGATTACACGTGATATTGTTGTAAATGTGTTTTTATTTTCCATTTTCATTTCGTACAGTCACATATATACTGTGCATAACCGGGGCCATATAAC